TCAGGGTTGGTGCAGTCCCATTCCATGGTGGCTGCATCCTCCTGCAGTGACAGATGTGGTTCTGCTGGAGCAGGGCTCCTGCACAAGGTGCAGTTTTCCTCCAAAGCTGCAGGGATGATGTGCAAGGCTCTGGTTTTCCTCTGGGATCCAGTGGGAAAAGGCTGCTCTGCTGTTCCAAATCTCCCCTTTGATCTGGGTAGGAAATGCTCGGCTCCTGCCCTGGCTGGAGCATCTCCCAATGGGATGATGGAATTTGATCAGCCCTGCCCTGGGACTGCATGGCCATGAACAGGAGAGATCTCCTGGAGGGAGGATGGGCTGTGGGGAAGATAAAGAACACTGCAACAGCTGGGTGAACAGCTGGTGACAGAATACACACTTTTGGTCACATCCTGCTTTGCAAGCCAAGACACCGTGGCATTGCATGGCTTCAGCCCATCTCGTGTTCTCCTGTTAGTGTTAAGGCAAAACACATATGTAATAAATTTCATTTTGACTGGCAGAACACCTGCTCCCTTCAAGGAGAACAGGACTGAGCCAGTACCCCCCACCCCCAGTAAATTAGCCATCACAAATGTCTTAAAATTGTGCCAAGAGAGGAAGGATGTGTCTGGTTATGGATGGCTGGAAACTGGGAGATGGAAGGTCAGTTTGCTCTTCTTCAGGATTTTGGGTTGGTCCAAAATGTGACTGTGCCTCAGTGTCCCATCTGTAGGCAGGGTGAAGGGAGTGCCTCTCCTCACTGCCCTGCTCAACTCGACCCCTGGACTGCAGTGGGGACTTTAGTGAGAAGCACTATTTATTACATCATGGAGCTTTGGGAATTGTTCAGGACTATAAATTACCTGTTCCTATGGTAGCATTTTAATATATGTGAATTTACAAGGAAAAAAACCACCTCTTGATAATATTTCAGTATGTTCTAGGAAGCCTTTCCAATAACAACCTCAACATTTTTTTTACAGAGATTTACAGAATTTTTATCAATAAACTGTCTCACTTCCCAGGCAACAGATCTCACTTACCAAGGAAATGAACTTTTCTTACGTCTTTGAATTACGGAAAGGACTACTCTGCATGATTACAAATATCCATGTTATCTTTGGTGTTCACAGCTTGATTCAACTGAATTGTAATGGCTGTGTCTGTGAAACTTGCTCAAAATTTTCGAGTGTTTCAGCTGTAAGTGGGAAAATTAACTTTCTGAAGCTGCAAAGTTGAGAGCAAATTTAAAGCCGAGTCTAGGGATTAAATCAAGAGAATAAGAAAATAAATAATTAAAATTTTATACTATGCAATCAGAAGGAAAATCTCCAAGACCTGTTATGTAAAACTACATGCTGATGGTAGAATTTACATATGACTGAAAAGGAGGGATTTAAAATGTTCTGGGTCATTACCAAATTACAATGTTTTTACTCTGAGCCATAGGGTGATTCTAGAAATAAAGCTTACGAGTACATAGACTTGTTCCTTTCATGTTAGTGGCTATAGCTTAGCTGAAGTTGTACATGTGTTTTCCTTGGCAATTTTGCACATGAAATAAAATATGTCTTAAAATCTGTGTTGCTACTTATTGGCTGTTCCTGCTGTGCCCTCCTCTTTAGATCCAGTTTTTGTGGTTTTTAATATCATTTACTCAGGCCTAAGTTTCGCCCTGTCAGTCTGAAGTAAAAGGAAGAGGAAAATGCAGCTTTTGACAGGGCTGCTTTTGTATAATTTGTGATGCAAGAAATTTGGAATAAAAAGTTCCTTTACTACTGCTTTGTAGTCTCAGAGGAAAAAAGAGGCAGGGAAAGATCTTCCAAAAATGGAGGATAAATGAACTTCCTAGTGTGTGTATCACTACTGAGGGTCTAGACAGATGCCCTAATCAAGATATAACTTTTAAAATGTATATATGTATTTATATATTTTATGTACATGCTGTGACTGTACTTAAACTGCCTCAAGGGGTTGTTCTGGCTTTCCTCAAGATACAAATCCGAGGCTATTTCACAAATGTATGTTTTTAGTGTGTAACAGAGCTCAATGTTATTGTTAATTTTACGTTTCCTTGGAAAAGACAAATGCAACACTCATGGAATGCTTCCTGACTGGCAGCTCCTTGATTCAACATCTAGATGTCAGCGACCTTAAAAAACTCTACCTGCCAAACAAAGGAGGACAAGTTTCCCAGAGTTAAGTGCTGCTCAATTTCCCTACTTCCCGTTGAGATATTAGCTCTGAATTTTCAGGGCAGGTGGACCTAAAATGCAGCATATACTGCTGAAAACAGAAAAATCATTTCATGATGGCTTACTGCTTTTGGATTTCCTTCTAATCTGTCCCTGAACTAATTAAGGCAGCTTGACTTGAAGATTAATTTAAATTCTAATGATCCATTGTAATAAGGCTGAATATCTATTTGGAGAATTTTAATGTGGCAAACTCAAACACAGCAGTCTGAAATTTAATGGACCCAATTGTTTGGTATAAAATAATTTAAATTTGAAATGCATTCCGGTTTTTTAATAGCTTTGTATCTCTTTTTCCCCATTATGAAGCAGCCAAGGCCATTTGAGGTTTCAGAAGTGAGAGCTGAGGGCTCTCCCTGAGGAGCACCTGGGTGTCCCTGCAGGTGCACACGTGGCTCTTCCCCTGCTCAGCCCTCGGGCTGGCTGTGAGGGTGTGACACTCTGCTTTTTGAGAGGCTTGCTTTGTTTAGGATTGGAAACGGGAGCAACCTACTGATGTTTTGAGATCTCTGCCTGTGAATCAAATTTATAGACTGAAATCTCTTTCTTGAATGCAACAGGGATAGATTTGTTGAGTCACAAGGCAGCTACACGAAAGGGATCTGAACTGTGCCAGAATCTAAATGTCAGGTTTAGCCTCCCTTGAGCAATCTAAGAGAAGAGAAACAATTTAAAAAAATGAATGACACGTTCTTCGTGAATAAAAGAAAATGCAGTGAGAATGCTGTTCTATTTAGTCTAATACAAGGTTTAAATTTTACAAAAGAAACAATATACAGATCAGCTTTGAGATGAAACCACAAGCCCTCAGATGAGAGTAAATTAGTGTATTTAATTCAGCAAATTCGTGGATTTAGTCGGGTGGAAACAGAGTAGAAAAGCAAAGGTAAGTAAAATGTTTAGAGGCAAATGAAAACCAGCACATGTGCCATTATGTATCAATGTTTTTTTTTTCTAGAGGAAGGGTTTTGACCAAAGCATCCTGATGGAGGAGTGCTGTGGGTGACACTGGCCAAGGGCAACCATTCTGCTAAATGCCATGATCCAGCTGATTTTTCCAGGAGATGTGTGTGCCCAGGCAGCTCTAGCTGATATTACATATTAACTGACATTATTCCTTGCATTACCACCCAGTAATTAAACACCAAGTGCTGTTTTGACATAAAGCACTCCATATGAAAAACAGAACAACAGATGGAAAATATTTAAACTGTGTGCCATGAAAAGCAGCTCTGTTTAAGCCAAGAAAACCCGAGTGAATAATGGCTGATGAGAGCTGGATGTAAAGTGAAAGACTTGATAAAAGATGAGAACTAATTGCTAGGAAGCAGCAATTCCCTGTAATGGAAACCTTTGTAGGCCCTTGCAATAACCTTGGAAAATTTCAGGTGGTTAAGGAAGGAACTTGATCTGGAGATTGAGAAAATGAAGACAGTTCCTCTATTACCTAACTTGATTTTAAAGCTCTCACTTCTCCACAAAGCCTTTGAGGGCCTCTGTGTATTGGCCCTTTTTGTCCAACCCAAATTTGTATTCTGGTAATTTAGTTTGGGCACTAGCACAATTCTCATTTTCGTAGTAATCAACAATTTCAGTTTAACCATTCACATGTTCACAACAATTAACCATTTCTGCTTAAGCCTCAAATCCCTTTGAGAGACTTTTTCTCCTGTTTCTGCAAAGGGAGCAGTGAAACACTGCAGCCCACATTTCCAAAGTGTTCTGGTGTTCATTTATAATCACATTAAAATGTGAATGCTATAGTTTGATAATTGACAAATGTGAGTTATAAACTAGATTTGGGGTTTTTTTAAATATAAACTTTGTGTACAGTAGATCAAAATCTGGCTGGAAAGATTGAGGCAGTATAAGGATGAATGCTGCAATAAGCAGTAAGAGGAAATAAAATTTTGGTATTGTATTGTGCTAAAACATTTCACAGTCGAGCAATTTGAACATAGTTTAAAAAAACAGAGATTAAAATATTACACTTAAAAATAAAGCTCTTTGCCAAAATATTGCAGCTTCAGGGTCGGCAACTTTATTATTTCATGCTGCCACCTACTGCTCTGGAAATGGAATTGGAAAAAGTAATTGGAATTTTTTTTTATCAGTCTGATAAAAAAACTATTTACTACTAAGCCTATTTACTACTTTGTGGTGTTATCAATGTGTGGCATTATTTTTGAATGTCCAGTCCAATCTGCCATCCCTGACTCTTAAAAACCAACTCAAGCCACAGCTTCTGTAATTTTGTGGTACACTAAAGACAAGAAAGGAATAAACTGTGATTGTAACAAAGATTTTTATGCTAACGTGAAAGTAGTTTTTTTTAAGCCGGTTTAGGAGCTTAGGACTTTGGCCATACCTATTTACTCAAAATTGCACTTAATATACTAAGCGTTAAAACAAAACCCAGCCATATTTTATATTGCCTTTTCTGTGTATTCCAGCTGTAGACATGGACTGCTGGTAATGCTGACAAAAACAGCGTTGATTTCTAAGTGTTTTTAAAAAAAATATTATATACCTCCTGCATAAAGTAATTGGAGGGGGAAAAAAAGTTAAAATATACAATAATATTACCAGTAACTAGTACCAGACAATTAATACACAAAAGAAGTCAACAATATGCTATATTTTTGATTTGGCAGAGAACAGCATGTAGTGAGTAGAAAGCCAATATTGAAGACCTATTAAAATATTCCACAGTAATAATGGCAAAACAACCAGCTGAAATATTCCTCAGTATGTTGGTGGATATTACTTCAGGTTCTGCATTGCTTTCATGCTTTGTATCTTCTTTTCTTCCAGTGCCTTCAGAATTTTATCTAAACAGGAATGAAACATAATTTGTCATTAATGATATCAGTAACAATTTACAATAGTTTTAAGTAAATCCAATAATCTATTAAGCAAACTAATAATCCTTACAATGCCTTGGCTAGCAAATATCCGAAAACCAGAGTTTCTCAAAAAAGTAGGTATTAAAAATGGAAAGAGGTGTGTATTGCTATAATGAAGGAAGAAAATATATGCAAACTAATGCTAATGCTAACTGGAATTTCTTTGAGATCTTCTTTCGAATCTGATGGGCATTTTTCCTGTGTTCTTGTAACCTTTGCACTCCTGAGAGTTTCCTGACTGGCCGCCTGTGGCCTTGCAGGAAACCATGAGCATCAAATAAATCCTTCCCACTGGAATTCTCCATCATCACCTGCTGAACCATTTCATTCCCTGCATTTTCTTCCTGGCCAGCAGGTTGCAAAATTAAAACGCCAAGCTCACTTATGATTTAACTGGAGGGTTTTTGATTGGTGGTTTCTCTTGGTGTGGGTTGTTTGGGTTTTTCTTTTTGGGGGCGGGGGGCGGCCGTGTTCTGGTATTGGGATTTTTTTAATGCCTCCGACTATCTGCGGCCTTTATTTTATATCAAAGCTGATGTACAACCGCAGAGTCCCATTACTACTCGACACATTGCGGGAGTACGAGCTCCCTCTCGCTTGACTGGTGCCTGCGTGGTTTCTTTGCTGTCACTGAATGACTTTGGGGGTTTTGCGGCTACACCCGCGGTTTGTGGCTCCTCCAGCAGCGCCCGGGCTGGCTGACACGGGACAAAGCCTTTTATCCCCGCAGTGTGCCCGGGCTGGCTGACA